TTGCCTCTTTAACTTACAAGAGAGACACTTGTGAATTGTCTTACCATCTTTACTGAACGTGGAGTGATCATAACTCGGTCCAGTCTTTTCCGTTGGTGTCTGGCCTGAGCCCACGGTCCAGTAAAAGGTCGCATTCCTATCAGGTTTCAATCCACACTGTCCAGTTTGAAAACTGCAATGACCTGTTTGAGACCAATCGAGTGAGGAAGGTTACGAGCAATGAAAGGCGGAAGACCAAAACGAGTGAACGACAGTGCGAGAATAATTAACTTCTTCCTCAGTTTCATTTTGGAACCTCAACGGAGGACTTTCAATAGACAATTAGAAACAAAACGCTTAAAGCAATGAGCTGTTAAATCGTTGATATATATATATTGATGCAGTAAAAATCTGCGAAACTGTTAGTCAACAAAAAAACAATTTATTGAGTTGATAACATAAATTAGCAGTACGGGACTAGTCATGAAGACGGACGCAACGCTTCATTTCACACTGAACATTTTTACTTCTGTTACTTCTACATCGAAAAAAATTTACTCCGACGTCAAAGCTCAAGAGAGCTCTGCTACAAATCCACAACTCGATTTGTATAATTAAATTTCTCTAGTCTCTTGGGATGTTTCACTCTGCACCCTTTATATTGAGATGGATAACACAACGGTTTGTACACACAGTGTTCTGCAAAAGTAATATAAACGAGTTTCGTGGAATTTTGCTCATTGTTGTCAAGAAATTTCGTTGAAACAACAATATGATTTCGCCAAAAAGACCTCAAATTCTGTGGAAACGAAGAATTGCAAAATTGAATGTTTGGAAGTAGAACTTCAGAGTGCGAAAATAGACCATTGTATAGTTGTTCGCTCAATGACTTGGCCTTTGAATGACAGTGAGGCTGGAGGTGATCTTGTTTTGATACAGACCTCATTGATTTTGCCGTGTAAATCACGTTGTTCTTATGCTAACTAGTTGGCATTTAAATGAGAAAAGCAGAGAGGTCTGTATCAAAGCGAGGTCGCTTGCATTCATAGGTCAGGTAACTAAGCACATAACTGTAAAATGGCCTATTCGTGACAGCGAAATGTCGCAGTCATTTTCTGCTTTGTGTTTTCATATCTGTTCTGATGTGATATCAAATAGCGCTCGTTTGTCATGTTATAATGCGTTTCATGTCGTAGCCACACTTTAACGAAGCCATCCATTCATTGGATATTGTTTTTGCGAAATGTGCGATTCAACATTTCGCATAAACAATATCGGATATTGTTTATGCGAAATGTGCGATTACTATGACAGAGTAAAATAAAGTCAACAAAGATTTTTTCAATATGTGCTATTTATTTTTATATTTGTCTTAATTGCATCTGACCAAGCCACATACAGTTTAAAATCATAGCTAACGTAATTGAACTCGATCAGTGAACATTTTAATATTGTCCTCCGTTGGTCACGACAGCTTAGAAAATGATCAAACGACGAGACAAAGAAGTAAAGCGTGTGTACCTGGTTCAGCAAAGTAAGGCCTCAAGGAGCAGTTCTCAGTCGTTACAATGATGTTATCGATTGCGACATTCAACCCGGCATCACGAAAACCTTCTCCCTCAAAGAGTATCTACAAAACACGAAAAAGATCAAAAGTTGTCTTACAGAATAATTTGTTATCAACTATACAAAGTCTCAATGACTTTAACTTGAAAAACTGTTCACACACAAGGCATGAAATGACATGTTGATCAAACCGAAATTGCTCACTAACCTGAATTCCCTCAGCGCCTCGCCAAGTTACCTGAGCCACTGACCCTTCTTTACCGTGGTATCCAACCGTCTGCCATACTAATACTGACATTTCTCGCTTAGTTTTTCTAAGGAAAACCTTCAAATTTGACTTTGATTTAGTGGGCATGAGGTAATGAAACCGCAAACACAAGACCACGGATTTATGGAATGGTTTCCATGGCAACAAAGAGCTCTCCAAACGTGCTTTGTACGCGTTATCAATGTAAGCAAAACTACCTGAAAAAAGAGGGTAGCTTCGATTAGTTGCATACTTTTAAAAGTAAAAACGTCAATATTCTAATTCTAAAGGTCAAGAAGACGTGAAAATGTGGTAAGAACATCAGTAACAAATTCGCCCATCGGCCACTTGTTTTGCCACTGTTGACGTCATCTGTCATCTATTTGTAAAATATTCAATTACAGAAGCGTAGCTAGGGGGTTCCTGCGGTGCCCGTGACCTCCCCCGTTTGTAATTTTTTTTAAACAAACAACCTACAACAGGTGGCGAAAATGATATGACAATTTGGTGGGTACCCTCACTTTGACAGAATGTGATCCCCCCTTTGAAAAAAATCTTGGCTGCGCCCCTGAATTATCTAACTTACCTGGATATTTCACGAAGGTTTCATTTGAAGATAACTTCCATTGGTCTTTGTCACCAATGCTGGTCCAACCACAGTATCCAAGTTCAAAAGAGCATTTTTCAATTATTGCAGCTAAAAACAAAAGAACCGGGAACTATATGTAAGACGAGTGAAGTTTCTACCAGCTATATAAAACTGTGAAAACGCTGGAGTGAAACCGTTCTAAACATAAAGCAGAATCAAAAAGACAGTCAAATGTGAAATTTTGGCAATATTCTTGTGAATATTCTCAGATTATCGCGCGTGTCATTCCCGTTTTATTGACTTTGAAGGCGGAAAAGTAATTTTGGAGCCAGACTGCAGGCAATCAAGCCTGATATGACACACATAACTTTATGCAGAAATGTTATTAGCATCAAACATACGGCTAATGATGTTTTTGTTGTTTTATTTGTTTTTGGCTTGTTTTTCCGTTTAGAGGAAGGGAGAATTTAAACAGTTTGATAAAAGCATATAATTGTGTTGCATTTACAAATTTTTAACACCCAAAGTTTATTCCTTTCAGTCTTAGCCTGGAGTATCTTCTTAAAATTTCGCAAATTTCGGCCACAATATCCTAATAAAATATATTTTCATCAAAAGAAAGAGTGTACTTTTCAAACGCCGTTAAAAGGCAAAAAGCAAAATACTGTAGAAAAACGTTTACCTCGAAGATGGACATGACCTAGCGTTCTCTCGCCAATAATTTGACCTGGATTGTTGACAAATGAATAAATGACCTGTGAAAGAAAGTTAAAAAACTGAAATGAACTGAATGCGTATTTCTATCATGTTACGTTCAGTTATATTTAGTTATTCTGTCCCTTACAGTAGGTACTTCGTTCTGTACAGACTACACATTGTGAGGCAAGGTGGCCCCATGGTTAGTGCGCTCGTCTTCGGATCGAGCGGTACGGGTTCGAGCCCTGGCTGGAGACATTGTGTTGTATTCTTGGGCAAGACGCTGTACTCTCAGAGTGCATCTCTCTGCTCTGGTGTATAAATGGGTACCGGAGAATTTAATGCTGGGGGAAACCCTAAAATGGACTCATTTGTTCTCCATCCAGGTGAACAAATGAACACTATATGCTATAGATGCTATAGATGCTATAGCATCCCATCCAGGAGGGAGTAGAAATAATCGTAGTCGCTTCATGCAACAGAAACCGGAGGCAAACGACAAAAGTTGGTTATCACCTTATTCATACTTTTTTTTTCCATGATTCCTATTGGGATTGGTAAATTATTCTGGATGTTCGAGCCGAAAATTCTGATGACCATACCAAGTTAATTTGCTGCAACAGGTATAGAGAAGAAACATGTTTGACTTATTACCTTAACTGTAAAATTTCCAGGTTGTCTGTCCGTCTTAAAAGTAGTTGTGAATGATGTGTTTACACAGTTAAGCGCCAAATTCAGTGTCACATTTTGCTCAAGGGTGGAGATGTTCAGTTCCAACGGGCAATCCGGGCAATATACTCCCTCACAGCAGAACTGGTAAAAACCTGTTGAAATAAAACGATAAGAAACGACATGGTTTTTATACGACTGTATCTCTATAATTATGTGTGGCAAATGCTTTATAATTTAATCGAACTAGGATGCACAAAAAACCTGAGAAAGGCAAAATGGGGGTCGTTGGAAAATGCAAAGTGTTCATAAGAGCCTCCACAGACTACACATTTAGTTGTCGACAATTGTTTGTTATCGGCAACTAAATGTCATCGACAATTAAAAAACATAGTGTGTGAGATGAGTTGTCGACAACTAAACGTTACGTTTTTAGTTATCAGCAACTATAAGCAGTTTCCCTTTTCGAAAAGGGAAACTGCTTTAGTTGTCGACCACTGATAAATGTCGAGAGCGACCTTTTTGAGCGTTTTTTCCATTTGCGCTAGTCGACAACTATCAAAGCTGCGTTGTCAGTGGGCAGTGATATGAGAATGCGTATTGTATGTTTAGCTTGCGTAGTGAACAGTAGTACCCAAGGTCCCGCTGGCTGACTGAGATATCGACAACTAACACTCCAACATGTGGAGTGCGAGCAGAGGACACAGTTGGTTGTCGATGACATTTAGTTTTCGACAACTACATCAGTTGTATTACTGTAGATTATCAGATTATTTATCACTGTGATAATTATAATTGCATTTAATAGTGGCTGGACGTCGCTTACACAACGGCGAAACATTAGAACAATTACAAAATAATTCAATTGCTTAGGCCCAGTTCATACGTCGCATTTCTGCCGTGTCGAATTCAATTCAACGAATTAAATTCGACAGAAATTCGACGTCTGAATCGGCTGCCGCATTTCTGCCGCACGTTCGACTGGGCTTGTCGCATTATCCGACAGAAATGCGACACCGATTCAGACGTCGAATTTCTGCCGTGTCGAATCTAATGAATACATTACGTTAATTTATTGAGCATGCGTAAAATGTTTACCCGCCAAAGAAAAAGGAGAAACTTGGCCATTCTCGACCCAATGCAACCTGAACATATTGCAACACATACTGCTCCATTGTCAGCCTCCTCCTTCTCGTTCCATCGGCGGACAATTTTTCGCAAAATTAAAGTCCTTCGTCGCTCAGTATTTTCGTCCGCCATATTGAATACTCTACGTTTAAAACATTTTCCGCTGACTGACATACCCGACAGTATTAATTCTGAATTAAATTCGACACAAGTGCGACGTATGAATCGACAGTTGCATTTCTGCCGCACTTAATTGAATTGAATTCGACACGGCAGAAATGCGATGTATGAACCGGGCCTTAGGCGGCTGCGAAGTTCAAGTGGCACCTCAACCCATTCACGATACCGCTTAAGGGTCAATTTTAATGGCACATAACCAGCATGACTTGCAGATAGATAACTGGAAACCATTATCTAAAGAAACTTTAGTTAAAATTCTACTTAAACATTGGAAACAATTAGATCATTCGGCCTTCATCTTTAGCCTCATCAGCTATCACCCCGTAGAAATCGGCAGCGAATAATGTAATTGTTACTTGTATATTATTTTCACTGGATACTGTCTACACTATACGGAAGTCTGATGCTAAAGACGTAACAAAATTTTTAAATTTCTTCCATTATTGTATCGATATATGCCCGACTGTTCTATATTGTTTTGTTGAACCAACCTGAAATATGTAACTTTGAACCAACGACAACAGATAAACGCGTTTTGTGATTCTGCAGTGTCACCATCAAGCTGCGTGTTCCTGTCGAAGAATTGTAGTAAAAAAGAGAATTATCGAA